AAATTTATCATATTTACGCAAAAAAAAAAAAACAATCCCACTAAATCAATGTACGCTTAATTTATGCTTTTATTCACCACTAAAATAAGTGTATGCTTAATCCCCTTATTCACTCTACTTCTTATAGAATTAAATTGCATAAACAAATCTCTACATCATGGAGCAAAGAGTGATTTGCAAATAGGGCAACAAAGGCATCATCATTCTCATTATGAAAGTATTCGTGTAAGAGGCACCAACATCATCATCCTAATTTTTTATGTTTTGTTTTTAGCATTTGTAACTGAAATCCTAAAAAAATGACTTAGGTTTATCTCTTACTTTACTGCATTTGAATGGCTAGGAACCACTGATTCAGTTTGTTAATTAGAAATAGTTTAAATTTCATAATTAGGGTTATATTTGATTTGATTAGTTTCATTTTTAAATAATTAAAAGTTGATTAGATTAAATAAAGTTTGTTTTGCTTTTAAAGATTAGATTAATTTTTATTAGGATTATATTATATTAATTTTTTATAGAATTAAATTAAGTAGATTGGTTTAGATTAAATTAATTAAAAAAATATAAATTTTAAATTTTAAACTTTAAAAAATAAGAACATAATTGATTTTTATTTTGAAAATAATTTTTGTTTTTAAAACCAATATATAATACAAAATATATTCTAAAAACAAATTTTATTTTATTTTATTTTTAAAAACAATTTTTTTTTAAAAAATAGAATCAAATATTCTTTAAATAATTTAAATTTTAAAAAATATTGCTATTCTAGTCACATTTCTGTTTAACACATATTTTTTAGTTTTAAAGTGATAGAGAGTGATTCTATCAGGCCTATGTTATGTGTATGCTTATTTAGTTTTAAATTTGATATTGTAATCATTTAACTACGATGTCCTTGTATTTTTAATGTGATGTATGCTGGTTATGGTATGAAATGACTTAAATCACATATGTATAAGTTGTATAATTGTTGAGTAAAAAGTTGACACATATTGTGTGAGTTTTGGATAGCTGGTTGAGTAAAAAGTGAGTCTAGACTATTTAGCTACAATATTTAGAAATGTCATGGTTGTTTATAAATTGTATTTTGAGCTCCATGACGAGCAACTTTGTTGTAAATATTCAAAATTGTTAATAGATGATTATGTATAGTTATATTCAAAATTATTATAAGGCTTTCTTGTATTATTAAACGATGGAGTTTCACGTTTTGTTATTTTTTCATCCTATATAAAAAATAAATAAAAAAAGTCATAACATATTCAACCAAGACTCTGTGCAGAACTTCACATGCATTTTTGCCTTAGTCAATTCCTTTGCCATTCCTAATGGTTTTTTAGCCTTATAGCTTACAGGCATTGATTCAAATTCTTGGTCTTCTACTCAACTTTAACTTACTCAAATTTGTGCAATTATGTATAGAATATTGAAAAGTGTGGGTTATGATCATATATATACAGGTCAGGCTAGGCTGAAAATAAGGCATTTAATAAGTAACAGACCTAACTTTGATCCAATAATTATATTACAGGTCTAGCCTGTTTAAAGTGAGGCGTGGCCTATTTCCATGCCTACCTACAAGATTGCCAATACAAAACCACCAACATGACCACCACCGTCACCATTTATGCCTGACATGATACAAATGGATTTTTGCATCAAACGACATCTCATTCATGTAGAGCAACAAAAGGTAGCAAACAATTAAGCATACACTAAGCTTAATGAGACCTTTTACAAGTCAATATCCTAAAATTTATCATTTTAATTACTATTTAAAATTATTATTCTATTATAACTCTCATATTCTCTTTCCATAGGTTCATACTACAACAACATCATGGAGAGGCTTTTGTTTTCCTATGGCCTACTTCAGAAGTTTTTGCAACAGTTGTATCATAGCCTAGAGACAGTCTTACCTTCCCAACTCTGGAAGAATCTACATAAGATCAAGTGGTACAACCAAAGAAGGGAGTCAAGAAGGACAATGATGGAAATAAAGCAAAAGATAGAGAACAGGTGAAGAAACAGGGGAACAAGATGAGAATCATGTTGCAAATAATGAAGAAGGTCATATTCAACCCATGCAAAAGGAGGAGTATATGTCAGACATGATCATTCTAGACACCTAATTTTAGAATTAGGACAATGTTTCTTTTTAATTTCAAACATTTTTTTGTTTTGTAATAGATTACAATTGTAATTTTTCATTTTGAACACTTATACTTTCATTAATAGAATGAAATAGACTATTTATCCAAAATGTTTTCTTATATTTCAATGACATATTCAAATTTTTTTAAACCTTGCATGTTGTCTATTTCTGCATAATAATCATATTTTCTACATTATTTGCTTAGGCTTAGAAATTTTGCTTAAGCAAATCTCAATTCGTTACATTCTAGCCAAGTTGGCTTAAGTGAACACATTCGCTTATGTGGATCAATTTTAGATTAAGAGAATCACAGGATTCTCAACCACTGCTCTCTAATCCAATTGCTTAAGGTATGTTTGGTATCCATAATCTTTTAACTTTCTCAGGAATGTTACTTAAAAAAGTTTTCTTATCCATGTTTGGTATAAAATACAAAAAAATATTCCCAAGAATGTGAGATTTTTGGAAAACTTAAATTCTGAAGAAATTGAAATTTTCATTTTTCCACTTCAATAGGTGGGTATCCTAAACTTTCACAGGAATCTAAAATTACCTCCTTGACCCTACTTCACTTTACCAATTCTAAATCATTTTTACACTCTCTCTTCTCTCTACTATTGCTAGTCTCTATCATGCTTTCTCTTCCATAACTGCTTTGTTCCTACTCTTGGTAAACATGTGTTCTTATTTTTGTTCATTCTCTTTCTTACTTGCCATTATTTGTTTGCGCTGCTCTGCTTTGCTCCTTCTTTATTTTTTTTTGTGGGTTCACACGTTGCCATTATTTGCAGAGCTTTATATTGCTTATATTTAAGTTAAGAGTATTTTTGTAAAAATAATATTCCCGATAAGGTTTTTTAATACCAAACATAAAAATCAGAGAAAATAAAAAGATTCCTAAAAAAGTTACTTAGTAAATAAACATGGGTAACAAGTTATCTAATAAATACATTCTTAAGAAACAGATTCGCGAGAATCTCAGTTAAAAAATTCCAGATACCAAACACTCCATTAATTAAATTTATTTGGTCTGACTTAAGTGAATTTCATTTCGCTTAAACACATATGAATTTGCTTAAATGAATTACAAGATTCAAATCAATAATTCTTTATCTCAAATTTGCTTAAAATTAATTATTTTCACTTAAACACCCTTGAGTGAATACAATTTCACTTAGACAAGATAATCTTGAATCTTCTTCTATCTCACTTAAACGAGCTTTACACATTATTATCAAACAAATTTTTACTCACTTAAGTAAAATTTTCTTTACAGTAAATATTATGCATTTTTGTTTAAACAGACAAATTTTGCTTAAGAAAAACAGTCTACAAAATTATATTCACGTCAAAACTTCAGAAGATACGTATCTCTGAATCACCAATCCCTGTCCCCGTCTTAATTGTTTAATGGTTGATCAAAAGTTAGCATCTAGAAAGAGGAAAATGGAGCACTTAAGCCGGCCAGCATTGAAATAATTTCCTGTTTTCTAATGAAACACTGAACACAATTGCTGGGGCCGGCAACAGTTTCCAATATACCCAAAAACAATTTTTCAATAATGCAGGTGGTAGTTACAATGTTGCCAAAAGTAGAAGAACAAAAGTCATCTTAAAACACACAAGAGCTTGTTTAACATCTCTGTTAAACAATTTTATTTGCTTTCATTGAACTTTTTAAACATACAATTTTCCCTTTGTTATATGATTATAATAGAGCAATGTTTTTATGTCATTTATGCTTTTTCCAAGTGGTGAAAATAGAGTCTCTAATCTTTGTTATTTAAAACAATAACAGGTTTTTTTTCGCGTGAAAAGCATTGAGAAGAGGGACTCAGGTGTGCCAAGTTGAATTAATCTCACTTTAATATATGGTTTTTGAATAATGTTCTTTTTCATTCAAGTTAGACATTTACATTTGAGAAGTTCTTTTCATACATTTTTATAACATTTTTTTTGTTTAATGAGAGAAACAGAAAAGAAAAATATGAAATAGGGTAGATAATATAATGGATAAAAATAGAAAAAAGCTAAATAGCTAATTTTATAATATCACTTCTTATTTTGCTGATCTAACTGTCCTTATCCTTCTATGACAAAAAAAACACGTTTGGAAAGACCAAACTGAGCATAAGATCAACATTTGCTTTGCACGCCGGCAAAGAACTAAACAATTCCATCATGAAAACAATGACTCTTAAACGGTTCTTTTTAGTTTTAAATTAACTGCATGGAGTGACCTTCACAAGAAAATATATTCAAGAATCACAATCTAATGCAATTTTAAAATAAAATCATACGTTATCCTTAGCCCTGACTTAAATGGAGGAGAAATACTTATTATAATAGTCACCCTTTTAAGAAAAATACATTAAATCTAATTATTATTATACCACTAATACATACATAATTATTCTTTTCAAGGTTAATAACATTTTTTCTAATACACTCTATTATTAATTAAAAGTTATACACAATTATGACTCACTAAAACAGAGTAAAAGTGTAAAACCCATATGATTTTTAATAAATTTTAACTGAATTTATTTAAAAAAAATGTGTAATATAGTTTAGATGAAATTTATCTATTTATAATTAGTAACATATTAGTGCAGTCCATTTAATCTAACATTTTTCTCCTCTAAACGAATGCGCCCATCTTTTCCATTGAATAAACCAAAGTAAACGTCAACTGCACAGTCCAAACAAGAAGAAAACAAACAGCAGAAAAACAAAGAACTAGCTGTTGACTCTTAATTAAACCATTACCATCAAATTTTCAGACACCCTCATATATAAGGCCACTTCATCCATCAACCACACCCACATTCCAACACAAGCAATGCCTCGTACCAACACCACCACCAACATGACACAACTAATCGTAGTTTTAGTTTTACAACTCCAACTAGTTTTATTGTTGTCATGCCTAACAATTAACAATGCTCAATCAACCACCATAATCAACGTGTGGCCCAAACCAAGGAACCTCACGTGGACCCCACCTTACCAAGCCACCCTCCTCTCCTCCACGTTCACCATCACAACAACCACTCCCCACCACAACAAACACCTCTCCGCCGCCATCAACCGCTACCAAAACCTCGTACAATCCGAACACTACCATCCACTTATCCCCTCAGGAGTCAACATATCCACAAACCTTCCACCACTTAACTCCCTCACCCTTACCATCACTGACGTCAATGCAGCACTAGTCCATGGCGTGGACGAGTCCTACACTCTCTCTATCCTCCCTTCATATGCTACTCTCACCGCAACAACTGTGTGGGGCGCCATGCGAGGACTGGAGACATTCTCCCAGCTTGCATGGGGCAGCCCCACACGCGTCGCGGTGGGAGTGTACGTGTGGGATTCCCCGCTCTATGTCCACCGTGGTGTTATGGTGGACACGTCAAGAAACTACTACCCTTTGAAGGACTTGTTAAGGACAGTGGAAGCCATGAGCATGAACAAGCTCAATGTCTTTCACTGGCATATAACAGACTCGCACTCTTTCCCTCTGGTGCTTCCTTCAGAGCCTGCTTTGGCTGATAAAGGGGCTTATGCCCCTCACATGGTGTACACACCAGAGGATGTGAAAACTGTTGTGGAGTTTGGTCTTGATCATGGGGTTCGTGTTGTGCCTGAGATTGACTCACCTGGTTTGTTCAATTTCCTTTTCAATTTTTAGACTTTGATTTTGTTATTTGGACTTTTTTATTGGTCATTGACTTCTTATTTGGTACACAAGTTGCATTAGAAAATCACACCATTAAGAACAGTGCTGAATTGGTTAACTAATTGTTTTATGTGGTTTCTGCTTAAATGTGTTTGTTAAACAAATAAGCAAAGTTAGAATCTGTGCATAACTATATGTAGATATGGGAACGAATAATTGTTTTGAAATTTTTGTGTTTTTCTATCGCTTCATAAAATTGTGTCTATTGGTTTTAGGAATGATGATTTAAATAAAGAATCTATTGGGATGGTATAAAGGATCTCTGGCTACATCTTACCATGAGAATGTTAAATTTCCAGTCAAAGTGATGGTTTCTAGGAATTATGGTGGTAAATAAATTGAAGTCCTCAGCATTCTCTATATGGGTGAAGTATAAAGGATCTTGGAGACTTGGACTTCAGCTTACCATGACAATGTCAATTCTACGAAGTTAGAACCTCAAGCACAGAGAAACAGAAAACTAAACATAATAATCATTAGGATAATAAACTAATTAGGCTTTCGTATGATGGCTAACTTTAAGACATTGTTTATGAAGTGTTATTGAAAAACATACCATTCTTTTTCTTCTTTCAGATAATTTAGCCTCACAAGATAGTAGTTCTAAGAATTATGATGATCACTGATTGATAAGTAAATTCATATTGGCAGGGCATACAGGATCTTGGGCTTTAGCCTACCCTGAAATTGTAACTTGTGCCAACATGTTCTGGTGGCCAGCTGAAAGTGATTGGGACAATAGGCTTGCTGCAGAACCAGGAACAGGTCATTTGAACCCTCTAAACCCAAAGACTTACCAAGTCCTAGAGAATGTCATTCGCAATGTGATCACACTGTTCCCAGATTCATTTTACCACTCTGGTGCTGATGAGGTTGTACCAGGATGCTGGAAAACTGATCCTACAATTCAGAAATATCTATCAAATGGTGGAACTCTAAGCCAAATTCTTGAGACTTTTGTCAACAACACTCTCCCTTTCATTTTATCCCTCAACAGGACTATTGTCTATTGGGAAGATGTTTTGTTAGATGAAACAGTCCATGTGCCATCAACAATTCTTCCTAAGGAGCATGTGATTTTGCAAACATGGAACAATGGACACGATAACACGAAACGGATAGTTTCTTCCGGATATCGTGTAATTGTGTCATCAGCAGACTTTTATTATCTAGATTGTGGACATGGTGAATTTGTTGGAAATAACAGTGCCTATAACAATCAAACTGGAGATGACAAAAGCAATGGTGGCTCTTGGTGTGGCCCTTTTAAGACATGGCAAATCATATACAATTATGATATAACATATGGTCTAAGTGAAGAGGAAGCAAAACTGGTTTTGGGTGGTGAGGTTGCACTGTGGTCAGAACAAGCTGATCCAACTGTTTTGGATTCGCGAATATGGCCTAGAACTTCTGCAATGGCTGAGTCAATGTGGTCAGGAAACAAGGATGAAAAGGGTATGAAGAGATATGCAGAGGCCACAGATAGATTGAATGAATGGAGAAGCAGAATGGTCAGCAGAGGTATAGGAGCAGAACCTATTCAACCACTATGGTGTGTTAGAAACCCTGGCATGTGCAACACATTTCATCCTATATAGTTGCATCACCTATTGTTTTATGATAAGTGATTGTAGTTGTCAAAGAGAATTAAATTTCACATCAATTTAAACAATTCTTGATTTCAATTGATGTTGTAAGTTGTAGTCTTTATATATGATTAAAATTTTACCAAATGCTGCCTTAAGCAGATATTGATAGATCAACATTTAGTAATTTGCTGTTTTTTTTTTGTAGCAAGGAGAGACAGCTGTATCAGATTAATAATGAATTTGACTATCATTTTATCTTGTGACTCACTATTTTTTATTTCATTTTTTGACTGATTAACCACTGAACAGTAAAAAAATTTCATTACATATATTTTATATTACATCATGTGATAACTTTTGGAGCAACTTTATGAGCCGAGCAAGAATAGAGGGTTACAATATAGAATCTTACGAGACTGATAGAACATGTCACTTCTTCATTTTGAAAATGTTTGGTATTTACACTCAATGAACACCACCAATGCCAGCTAAATTAATTTACATACAAGATACATTAATAAAATTAAAGGTGTTTGTTATATTATTTGTAAACTTAAAAGTATATATATTTTTTAGATTAACAGTTGTGTTTTCTTTAATATCTTATAGATTAGAAGGTATTAACATTTTTTTAAACTAAACTACGGATATCATCATCTATTAATACAAAATTAACGATGAAAATTGTTCTTCGCATAAGAGACGATATCACTCAATTATAAGAAGTATAGTAGATATGATACCAAAATTAAAATTCTCAAATACAGATATTTACAAATGCCGAAGCTTAAATAATTTAGATTCTCTTCATCCTCTCTTTGTTGAAAACCTTAATTATATATTTAAATATAACAACAATGATATTCATATACTTACACCGCACTTTTACCTCATTTATATTTTATTTTTCTTATCACAATATATTACTTTTCATATTTCTCGTATTCTTTTTTTCTTTTTATATCTTCTTTCTACGTCTACACCCCAAAAATGAGGTGTATAAAGACGAGTAGCTTATATCTAATGATCCATATAAATCAAGCTAACAAAGTAATAAATAATCAATCTGGTTCTTACATTGAGCATTATAGTTATGAAATTATGGGTTTGGTTAATCTGCTTCTTAAATGGAAAAAATTTAGGTGTAATTTCTTGACAGTGTTGTTTACTTATTAAAATTTATTTTGGGTCAACTTTTACCAATTAAAAATTAAAGTTTTATCCTGACAATTTGGGCCGTTTAACCGTGGGCTTACGTGGGGCGGTGTAGGTGGGCCAGCCCATGAAGAGGCACTTCTCAAGTCTCACACGTAACCTTTGCAAGCAATAGTTATGACAAATTTGCCTGATACATACGTTTCAGGCTCTTTACTTATTATAGCAAATACAATACTCATTTTCACGGGATCTCATAACCTTTTTCATTATTATTGCGGCTCTGTAAAGTGATGGATCGATACAAGGTATCAATTTTGGAAATTTTCAAGAAAACAAAGAACGGAAATACATTTCAGAAAAATTAAAATCATAGAATATATAATGCTTCTTACAAATATGCTTATAGATGATATTAAATATGTGAGATCATGCCAAACTTTAGAAATATCTAACTTTTTTAATATCTATTTATAAAAATGAGATAAATATAAAATTTTACAAAACTCTCTTGTAAAAATTACACGTCTAATGCAATTTGAAACCTTACTTTTCACTCTTTCCTTGTACAACTAAAAATATGCTATTTTCGGGCTAAACTTTCAAATGAATTTGGGACTTTTTTAAAAAAAAATTGTAAAATATTTATTCTATTTCTAATGCATCTGAATTTTGTTCAAAATCAGTCTATAATATTCCGGTGCCAAGATAAATTTTCAGACAAATTTAATTAGAACATAATTTCTTTTATATGTACATTTTAAAATCTGTCTAAAATTTTCGTAGCATTTAGCTACAAAATTTTCCATCCAAAAACATATATTTTCAATAATAGTGTGTAACCAAACAAGGGATAAAATATAATAGATCAGTCTCCACGGGGCCTATCATTACATGTTCACTTTTCACATATATGTTACATTTTTTGTTTCTAATTGCATGACACATTTGTATATGTGACATTTCTTCAAAATTCACTATAAAACCATAAGCAAAATTAACCACAACCATGCAAGCCCAAAAATAAGCTATAGTCTAACACTAATCATGAAACCTCCTTATCACCATATGGTTGCTTCAACCACAGCTTCTCTTGTGCTTCTTCTCATATTAATTACTTGATTCACATCACCCTCTATGGCCTTCTTAGAATGTGATTATGTGATTGGCCACTCTCATAGCTTCATGTTGTGAAGGAGCTAAAGCTCTTGTGTCTAGTGCAACATGTGTAGAGGATAAAAGGGTTGCATGCAATGGTGTTAAGGGCATAGCACAATTATAAGTCCAAAGCCAGAGATTGTCAAGGGTCTCCCTAGTCAAATGTGGATTCAAACTCCCCTTCGAAATTTCTCCAAGTAGTGTTCTTTATCTTTGATCACTTGCTAGCTAGTAGGTTTATCAATTAAGATAACTAAAAAATATTGTCATTTATTAACGATTTTTATTAGATTAATTAGTCAGTATTTTTACAACTTTTTTCTAACAAGAATCAAGTTGTTAGAATAGATATTTTTCATTTGTACTGCCAATATAATATATTATATTAATAAATAATTTTACTAACACAGGATATTAATAAACTAAAAAAATACACAAATGTTAATATACTATATTATTTGTTAGTATAGATCATAAAAGTATTTACAAACAATTTGTTTATTTTCTCATTAAAGATAATACTAATAAAAACTATCCTACTATCTAATAATTTTTTGTTTTTTAGTAAATTTTTTGTAGTGCACAATACGAGTCTTTCTTGCCTTGTTTATTTAAAGATACATTTTAATTCCCTGTAATTTCGCACATACACACAAATATTTTAGCCCTTTTACTTGAAATTGATATTTTATCCTTTTTATTACTTTACTTTATAACCATATTGTAATTTTGATACATGTTTGTTCTTAATTATTTAATTCAAAATTTTTGTTGATAATAATTTTTTTTTAATATAATGAAGCAATTCCCTACAAAATTATATATAAAATTATCTCATACAATCAAATTATGCTATTAAACAACGATTATAAACTAAACAACGTGGAGTAAATAATAATTTAATTATTTTTAATGTGTATTTTCTTTTTACTGAAAATTGAATGAAAAATATCTTATAGAGTGACATTGTGAAAATATAGTCAAATATAGGGAGGTAAAACGTCAAATTTATAACGTAAAAGAGAAAAGTATTTTAAGCTAAAACACAAGGAATTAAAGCATAATTGACTTTTTTAAAAAAAGTGGAGACGTATTAAGGTGAGAAAAAAATGTCTTATAATTAAAAATGAGAATAGTAAATTAATCATAAGTATTGAACCACTATGATAATTTATTTCTAATTATCATATATATGATCTTTTAATTTATTACGTAATATTTAAGTAATTTAAAATTTTGACCTTTTAGAATTGCCAATAATCAAGATAATGTATGTATAGAGAGAGACATATTAATCTAGTGAGAGCACTTGTAAGCAAAACTAATATTGAACATTTAACTTCACAGGAATAATTAAAATTAGAAAGATAATAACCACATTAATTACTTAAAAAGTTATGAGATTTATATTATAATTTTGATTTATACCACATGATGTAATTAATTAATAATAAAAAATTTACTCCTATAACTCTAGAAATGTGCATAAGCGTATGTATACCATACAAATAGAAAAATTATTTAAATGTTTCTAGTTTTTAAAAATATATTAAATTTTGATTTTAGTTTTTACATATAAAAATAATCTCTACATTTTTAAAAATTATTAATTTTCATCATTATCACTTATATGATTTCATAAAAACAAAATCAACACATAATACAAAAAATATAATGTGATAATATCTAAGTTAGTCATGTCACTATTTAACAGCAGTGATTAGGGACACAACAACACTTTTAAAAATATAAAAACTAAAAATAAAAATTTAGTATATTTTGATAGACAAAATATATTTTATCTCAAAAAAAATAATTGGAATAGTAATTCAAGCATTATTGACCCCGTTCTTTACTCTTTGTGTTGTTGCAGGATCTATACAAAGTAAGACCCCATCAAGGACGTTTGTTCTTAAACAAAAACATCTAAAGAATAGGAATATGTTCTCTGCTATGTCGAATCCTTGTGTTCAGATAAATTTTTCTTTCTTTTTTCAATTTTTTCTCAAACAATATCAAAGCAGAATGATTTTTCAGTATTTTATTTATTATTATTAGAATGATTCTGAGATATATTTTATTTATCTTCTAAAGATAACAGATGGCCAAAACATAATTCGAACATTATTCTCTCTACAATTTCATTTGTACTTAAACATTCCACAAGGTACAAACTTCATAAACATGATTTGGAGGTAGAAATTAAAGTTCAACTCAAAGAGGTCCACAAAAACAAATAATGCCAATATTTTATAATTAGAACAAGTGAGTCACGTCCCTGTTAATGATAATGCTCAAGACTACTTGGACAGCAAACAGTACTTGTGACTAATGATAGGTGAGAATATGTTTATGGAAAAATGAACATATTAAAGGATACATACTTTAAAAAGTTTGATGGGTTTCAATCAAACAAAATAATGTCAATAATTATGGAAATGCTGAACAGCCAAGCAAATGCATCCATCAAAAGCAATAGCTAGTGATAGCAAGACCCTCCAAGACCAATTAATATAATATGAATATTATATAATGTATGGTTGAGATATCCAATTGAGGGTCCTATTTATGCTACCTATTAGAACTGAATTCGGTGCTAACTTGCACATGATTTTGCTCCTGAATGGTGAAGCTGTCACTGTTAGCAACATGCTTGGAAGAGTGACACCACACACAAGGCTTACTTCCATCACAATTAATAATTTTCTTTTGGGCAAGTTAAGTGATCAAATTCTTACAAGAATGGAAAATATAAAAGAAAACAACTCTTTGCTCCAATAAACTTGCACTTGCTTCATTTACTTGATGAAACTAAATAACCCCTTCTTCACCGCTTCCACCTAACCAAGAATTTGATAAAAATAAAAGGAAATTAATCTCAAAAAGACAAGTTTTCTTGTTTCTTGCACTCATTCACCTAGATAATCAAACCCAACTTTACTTGCAAATTTTAGTTTCCTTTGAAAGTCCTATAAATGGTGAACAAGAAGAAATGCAAATCATCATCAATTCCTTTGAGCAACCATGATGAAGTCTTCAGGTGCATTTGCTACCCTTGTGATTCTCATCCTTCTTGCTTCAACTTCAGAGGCTGCAATTTCATGCAGTGATGTGATTAAGGACTTGAGGCCATGTGTGAGTTACTTGGTGAGTGGTAGTGGACAACCACCAGCTGCTTGTTGCAGTGGAGCTAAAGCTCTTGCTTCTGCTGCATCAACCTCTGAGGATAAAAAGACTGCTTGTAACTGCATCAAATCCACTTCCAAGAGCATCAACATAAATTCACAATTGGCTCAGGCTCTTCCAGGGAATTGTGGAATAACACTTTCCATCTCTATCTCCCCCAATGCTGATTGCTCCAAGTAACAATCATATATGCATTAGAAATGCTTAACACAGTGTCAAATGCATTCTTTTTAACACATTTTATTATTATTATCATGGACTAAAATATAAAGAAATTTACACAATCTTGTGTGAGACTGTTTAATTTGGGAGTAGAACTTGCATGATTCAATGAATTTTAAAAAAAACCAATTAGTAATAAGAGTATGTTTGAAACATTTAGATTCCTTCATGTTCTTAAGTAACATAATATGATCATCTTTGAGGGGGAAAAAAGCATAATTTTTATTAAATTTAATTAGTAGGTCCTAAATTAATCATAATAGATCTTTGTTTGATTAAAATTGCATGTCTTTTTCTAATATAAATATATCATGCATGAAACTCAACAATATAAGAGGATTTAAATTTGTTTGAAACAATGTCTTTAGTGTAAAGTTTATCTACTTTCAAATTAGTTATTTGTTATTTTATTTATTTGCTACACCTTTTGCAGGATTGGTTGAAACTTGGAACTTGGAATTGGAGGCTGTTGCAGAGCATGTTGAACATTTTTCTACTACATATATATATGGGAATATAAAATATTTTGTAATAAACAGGAATCTACCTATGTGGATTTCTTTATTATGTCTATCTTTTTTGTTTTCAATATGTTGCTTCAATGTTGTTTCCGGTCTCCGTTTGTAGAGCCACCTGCGGCACAAAATTTCACTAATGTTGTTCTTTTCCTGTCTATGTGAGGATAATGTTACTTGCATATGATTTATACTTGTAATAATTTTTCGGGCACTTTAAATTATTAATTAAATTAATTTTTAAATAAATAATTAAAAATAATATTATATAATTATTTTAAATTAAATTAATTTTATAATTTTTAAAAAGAGTAACTATTATAATTGTTAATATTAAATATTCTATTGTGTTAAATAAAATGATGAAAAATTAAATCAATATTAAATTAAAAATAAATACATAATGTAAAAAAAAATCTAATTCTTAAGAATAGTTTTAAAAATTATTTAAAAATCAATAGTCGTGAATTATATTATATATACAGATGATGATTGATTATAACCGGTTATCAGTAAAATGTAATCACACAACTTATTAAATCATACTTAATGAAAAAAAATATACTGAGTTATAACAAAAGTTTTAATTATAATTATTTGATATCAATAAAAAAAAAACATAATTAAACAACTTCTAACACACGCACGCGCGCATATAATATATATATATATATATATATATATATATATATGTATTATTTATCAAATTTTAATTTTTAAGGGTTGTATTTTAAATAAGTGACAATACTTTTTTAAAAGAAATATACTATTTTTACAATAAAAAATATTTTTAACTTTAAATCAATTTTATGTAAATAAAATTATTTTATTTTTTAACATAAAAATATTCATTAAATATTAAATTAATAAAAAAAATTCAAAATTTATAAAAATAATAAACAAAATTATTAATCAAATTAAGATTAATTTTAAATTTATCTCATTTAAATAAATAAAATACACTTAAATATTATTATTTTTATATATAAATACTTAAACATTAAATACTCGCCTAACCATCAATCTCGTTGTACAGAACTTTCAAATTCGATAACCCCTACAAATAAACCTCTTCCCAACCCAAAGCATAAGTTGCAACCTGATTGCTGTTTTTGGTTTATTGCCAAATTAAGGCATATACCAACTAAAAGTTATATTTATATGAATAGAAAAAAATATATTAAACAGCATTTTAAACATACCAATTAACGAATAAATATCTCAATGTAAGTTTTAATAATTTTTTTTTTTTTACTTTTAATTCTTTAACAGTATCTTTACAAAGCTAGTTAGCAAGATTGGTAAAAAAAAAAAAAAAAAAAGGAGTAGAATAAGATAAATAAAATGATGAAAAAATAGTATATGAATTATTGAATAATATTATTACACAAATATGATATATATGGTTGACTCCAACTCAAATACGTGTTAGGCAGGTTAAATCCAAGTGCCCTTGCTATGCCTTTTGCCCTTTGGGCATAATTGATGTTCCTAACTTGGAAATGTTTGAAAAACTTGTTGCATAGGACAACAACTAATCATTCATCATTTATGTATTGATGGACAACTCTATAGCACACAACATGGACTCACATGTAGCATCAATACGTTCTTTGACTTGGAAACCCTTCACTTGGGTAAAGGGTTTTTCTCTCCCCCTTTACCCTAATTCACTATGCAAACGTTTTTGGAGTCATTATGAAAAATTGACCCTTCAATATATCTCACACCAACCTTTTAAAACCGTTCAATTGCAATTATGGTGTTCCAATTTCAAATCTTCTATCCAAACACCATTAATATGGAGAATTGAAAAAAAAAAAACTTAGTTTTGAAATGACTTATAATCTCACTTGAATTGATTATGCCTTCTTATGGAAAAATATACCAAAAGTATTTTTCTATGACTTATGGATCTTTACATAATGGTTAATAAATTATTTTGAACAGAATTTACACCCACATTTATGGGTGTGTGTTTGTGTAAGGAGACATATTTACTAAAAGTTTAAGCAATGAGTTAATTTTCATTGATGAATGATTCTTAACCTAATTAGTTTACAAACTCAAGTAAATTTCATCCAACCCTACCTTAGTTTGAGGAGGGATGCTTATAATTCTTGACTTAAATTATATAATTATACATAAATAATTGATATTATTTTACTTAAAAACAATTTTGACAATTCAACTTAATTACTAGTGTGGTTAATGTTAACTTCTTTCACACTCTTACCTATTGTGTGTTAAAGGTCTTTAATGGGAAATTTTCTATTAGCATTGAGATGAGATTAATTTTGTAACTATGCTTGTAATTAGTTACATCATGTCGTCCTTCTAACAAGTGATAGAACTTTTATATCTTTTCCTTTTCAAATTATAATATTATTATTATTTTTATAAAGAAAGAAAAAGATCTAATCTTTTTATAAAGCTATCAAACCTAATAAAAGAAAAGTATATCTTTTTCTGATTTTCTCCTCATGTAAAGCAGTAACAGAATTAACGGGAGTTAAGAAAAACTTTAAACAAAAATAATAAAAAGCAAGAATGACGTATTTCAATTCAACTTTTCTATGTTTTTAATTATGTCATTTTACCATATCTTAACTAAACATATGGGGTTGAGTGTTAATTTTAAAAGTATAGATTAAAAAGCCATATGAACTGACCTTGTGTTTACCCCAAGGCATAATGATTCAACTTAAAAGCCCATGCTTTTCAAAACTCTGCTAGATAGAGTAGAAAATGAGTATATTTTCATGAGTATGTTACGTTTTATACCTCCTTGCATGAATGTTTCTATGCATAAGATAAAATTATTGAATTTAAAAAGTTATTTTTAAGAAAACATAAAAAATTACTCACATAATTTTTAATACATTTTAATATAATTTAACAATTAATTATCTATATTAATTCCTTGACTGATACTATAAAGACACTAGTTAATGAGTTTAATGTCAAGAGTTTCTTTTTTGTGTATATATATTAGATAAGAAAAAGATAAAATTACAAACTATTACTAAAGATTTTATTTTAAATTTATCTTTTTTTGGATTGATCTTTATGTATCTTTAAGAAAAAAACAATTTGTAATTTCAGACCATAGTACCAAATAACATATCTCAGTAGATAAAGTCATAAAGCTTTTTTCCCACTTGATACGTTAGTAATGTTGCTTTCATAAAGCCACAAAGAAATATAAATATGAATAATTAAGGCTAAGTGACAAAGGAGAGGTGGGTGTATAACCAACCATAATAGAGGCTTTTATGAAAGAAAATGCTAGCTTGCCACACTAGCATACCATTGAATCCCACATGGGTCCATTGTATCTGCATCACAATAAGGTGATAGCGTTTATGCACATCCTTTTTTTTTTTAGCCCTTCTATGGTCAAGGACAATGCTATACTTTAATACCATTAATTTTGCACAAAAATGTGAAGTGACTCAATTAGAGTGACCTGCACCTGTATAACCACATGTGGACGCATCTAATTTTAATTTCCACCATTACTTTCTTTAATTAAAAAGCCACCCACTAACTCTAATGTCCCAAGCAAGAGCACAAAACCTTAAACAAATGTTCTTATTGAGACGGCTTTTCACTAATCAAACATCATAGTAAAATAATAAATACATAGTCTCTCCTGTCTCATACTAGAATATTCTGTTCACATTCACGCCTTAGCCCTTCACAGCTCCAGAGAGAGGAGCAAACAAAAACAACAAATATATATATAAACATCAAAAACCAATGAAGAAACTTGTTTCTTGTAAATCTAAGAAACCCACCACCCTTTTTCTCCAACAATTTTTGGAGACTTGAAATACCAAGAGCTTCTTTATACACCACAAATCTAAGTGGTAACACAAGTTACTACTAACTACACTAGATAAAAGTAACGCCTAGTCTTTTTTCTTTTTTCTTTTCATTTTTCTTTGCCCAACATGAATGATGATCAAGGACAACCTGCATTTCTACCAGGACCACCATAATAGAAGTAGTTGCCCCAATCTCCAGCACTACCAGGTTTAACATTGTAGCAACTATCTTGCTCAGTGTAAGTACCAAGGTCTTTGGGAGCTCTAAGCTTGTTGTCACCATCAACAATCTGAATGTTCTTGAAGTAACTAGACTTACCAAAACCTTCCTCAGGGAAATGGCCACTTCCCATTTGTGTTGAGGTGTGTTGGCCATCAGACTCAGAGTTCACAACTTCCCCTCCCCACTCAATCATCGACGCGCTGTCAGAGAGGTATGAGAATAGAGGAGCTGGCCAGTATCCAAGAACATGGTCATTACCAAATTGCATCCACCAGTTACCCTCTTTTGGGTCCTACATACACATTAGTTTTGCAAATCAGATGCCATTTTCCATATTATTTAAATTCATGGACCCCTAAAGAGAAATGTAGCATTCAAATATAATGCAATGTGTGTCAGAGATTCTCTTGATTTATAATTAACTAATATGTCTGCACATAACAATGTTATTAATATAATGCTAGTGTTTGTTAAGTGCTGGGCATATTTTCATGCCAGAATGTCCAATATCAAAAGATAATATTATGAAATGGAAATAAATTAATGTACCTTCCAGACCAGGATGCTGATATCATATTGGGAAGAACCATACTTAGAAAGTGGGTAGATGCTAGCTCCTAGGGCTATATCACTGTTAATTTGAATAAATCCCGAGCAAAGGAGATTGTAACAACCAGTAGCTTGATAGGCATCACTCTGTCATGGTAATGAAACAATGTCATTAAATGAAAATTAAATTGGTAAAATAATTTGAAGAGAAAGAACAAAATAGGGTGCATGAATTGGGTACTCACTGTCCAATAAGTGAAGAGTCTAGTGTTGTTATCTCCATACAAATCTGGGCTAACCTAATCGCCAGAATAGAAAAGACAGAAACAGAAAATTAGAAAGAAAGTGATAAATGTTATGTTTAAGAGGGTGCTGAATTTGAAAAACATTCAGGCAGAAGATGACAATAGATAAAATTTTTAATACTACCTGCCAACCTGCTTCAATGCTGTTAAGATCTTGACCAAAAGAGCCACTCAAAATCCACATTTGAGACAGGCTAAATTCATTGGGTTGTTGAATTTTTGGGTCCCAAACGTTTATGGTTGCTTTGGCTCCATAATACTTATCTCCTTCCACATAAACTATGGCATGCTAAATGCTCCAAAAAGATCAAAGGAATAAAGAAAAAAACATAAAATCAGGAGAAATAAATAAATAAACAAATAGCTTTTATCTTCTGCTCCTATACTTACTTATTTTTATTCTTTTGCATAAAAAAGAGACCTAACATGGTAGTACACAGCTTTTTTTTTTTCCTTGTGCATAAAAAAAGAGGCCCAATGTGGTAGTAAACAGGTATTTTCTTTTCCTTTTACTGCCCATAAAAAATAAAATTAATGAAAAAAAGAGGGTATTTTCTTATTAATTTTCTTAGTAATAGTAGTAAATTGAACTTGCTGTCACTAAATTATCAGAATGATGGTAATGTGGCAGTACCTGGTGGCCACTCTGACTGAGGAGGTCAGGTAGAGGTTTTTCAGATTTTGGCTGAGGGAAGCTCCTTTGTTTCTTCTTTCCAAATTGCTGAATAGAGCTTGCCCTTAATATGTCATTCTTTTTGGTCCTTCTGATAGGAATTGTCCCTTCAGGGCACCTGCCATTTTTGTGCCACAGCTGAGTAATAGGCTTGGAATTTGAAGAGACTTTGCTTTCTCCAAAAGGTTGTCCTTCTGGATGGAAATTTGGTCTTATCTGCATCACAAACCCGTGATTGTTTCAAATTCAATTTGAACCAAACGACCCCCACGCCAAGGAAAGATACAAACAAAACAAATAGGTATTAATCAGATTAAGAATTTTGAATTGTACAGAACCAAACAAAAAAAAAAAAGAACACTTAATAAGAAAGTAAAATTGTTCACCTGAATCTTGTGATTTTTTAGCTCGGGGTGATCAAAAGCTGGCTGGTGTGAGACATGGACACAGTCAATAATATCTCCATCTGGACTCTGTTCACAACAACCCAAATGTAAATTACAAACTTGCAAAGAGAACTATGTTTCTGTATGGCCCCAATATCTAAAGATGCAAATCAATTGCAATACAATTCTAAGCAAAACCCAGAAAGGGCACCACTAAAAAGCTCGCTAAGATTCTGCTCTAATACCAAGAACAAGTGAAAGAGACTAAAAGAGGCTCCCAAGTGAGACAACAGGAGCATCCAAGATTAAAGTTCCTTTCATTCCAAAAAGGTTCATTGATGCAAATACCAATTAGAAAAAAAAAGAAAACAGTTAGGCAATCAGTGAAAAAGTGGAAGAGGCAAAAGAAAGAGATAAACGGTATTAAAAAAGCTAAAGAGGCAGAAAAATTCTCTCTACCTTGATGGACTTAACAGGTGGCCTATTCAAGTTTTTCAAGTGCTTCTGAACCTCAAGCTTCTGACTTGAACTAGTAGTTGTGGTGGTGTCTCTGCCAGCACAAGCCAAAGTCACCAACAAAAGCAACACCAAACCAAACAACAACACAGCCTTCCTCATTGTAACCTTCCAATCCCAAAGCATATAACTTTATGAGAATTCTCAAAGTGGGTATTGCAGAAACACAGACACAACAACTATAGAGCCTAAAGGGTCACCAAAAACCATGAAGGATTTATAGTACACACACAAGGAGGATCCATTAAAAACTGTGACATGGGTTGTTGTTATGCTAATAAAAAGACCATTTTCTTCTATTTATTTATGGGCTTTTTAATATCTTTCTTTCTTTCTTTGCTGCTTATCATGCGCACCCCACCACCAACCACAAGAAGCAGCAACACCGCACCACCCTTTGGAGTAGTTGTTGTTTGCACACAAAATACAAACAAAAAAATGTGCTTGACACTTTGACAGGGTTGAGTGAGAGGGGGCCCTTGCAATTCCAATGGTTCTTCCCTCTCTATTTTTTGTTCCTTATTTGTAGCTTTGTTCCTCAGAACGCTACAAAATCAACTGCCGACGCTTGTAAAGGAAAAGGGAAGGGCATTTTCGGCATTGAACTATGGAAGCGGAAAAAGTTGTTTGTGGAAATGCATGGTGGTGTGATCCAGTCACCTTCTACCACACTTGAGGTTCCACTACTCACAGTGGTAAGTGAGAGAGAGAGAGTGTGTGTCTGTTAACACTAAAGGGTGTATACTAGAGAGAGAAATTCTATTTTCATTTTTCCTTCTAATAAGTATTTCTAAATGATTAATAAATTTAGCTTTAAATCTTTTATAAAACTAAATCATTAACTCACTATGATAAGTAATTGTGTCCTAAGTTTTATTATATTAAAAACAGTTTATCTTTTTCATAGATTAATTAAAATGGCTCTGAATGATAATTAGATTATTCTCTTAAAAATATATAAGAAAATTGAAACCTCTATGAATGACAAATTATAAACAACCTGTGTGACACGCCGTTGGAAGAAAGTGTGAGGGTTCCCTTTCCCGCTACTATGGACAAGGAAGGGAGTAGTGTGTGGAATTACTGTGCTGCCCTTGGGGTCACGGGGTTACATTCCCATTTTTTCTTCTCACAACCTGTTTTTGTTTTTTTCGTTCTCTCTACTGCTGCCAGTGGAAGCAGATAGAGGTTTCGGAATTTGGAATAATTGGATTCTTGTTTCTTTCCATTGTTATTAAGAGAATTTTTAAATTAATAAAACATGATTTGGGTTAATTAACCACGCTTCCACAGACTTCAAATTCAGTTAAGAAAAAAAATTACTAAAAGAGATTTTTTTTTTATTTTGATATCATATTTAACATATCTTAAATTGAAAAAATTTATAATCTATTTATTTCTAATTAGAGATATATAATTTATAAAGGAAGGTTTTTAAGTAGTAAATCTTATTTCATGTGCTATTACTATATTTTTCATAAATTTATGTCATTTATAAAATTTGATTGGCTAGCTAACAAGACTTCAATGGCTTTAATAGTAAGGTAATAACTCAATTTTTTATATATTTATTTAATAATATAATTTTGGGAAAAGTATAAATAAAATAATAAAATAAACACCTGTTTAGTACAATCAGTTCAATAAATTAATATTAAACTATATGTTATATAAATGAAGGTTTATGAAACTAATTAAGGTTGATGAGACTTTTGACGTCATTATAATATTTATTTTTTTCTTTCAAAATTAACTTCTATCATAATTGTTTTGTTCATCGTTTAATTTATTATTTAATTATAACAATCTCAGTCGATTAATACAATGAATACAAAAATATAAAGAAAGTAATATAATAATTCTTACCATATAATTTATGTAATTATCGAGATATATGTGATCAAGTATCATAAATAAGGCTTTCTAATATTCGTAAATACACACCACAAAGCATACCATAACTTCTTTCTGTGTTTCAAAACGTGTATATATGATATTTATCATACTTTTTAAAATGAATCATGCAATGCATGATGCAATTATGACTTAAATCATTTCATATATTGTTGAATTTTGATCGCATGCAGAAGATTAAAATTTAAAAATCAAAATGGTTTAACCAAAAGAAAAAAATCAAATACTTTTCAAATAATCAATTGTAAAATTTTAAGAATTAAATATTTTAAAAAAATTATCCAAATAATTTAAACATTTGTAGCTATAGGATGCACAAATACAGACATAATTTGAAAATTAAGTTTGATGTCACAAATAATCATTTTTAATGTAAATTTTATCATTCTCAAACACATCCACGGATATACAAGTAATACTAATATACACTAATTTTTCAAAAGAAAAAGATATTAAAAATTTATAACTTTTCATTTATATATTAGCAATTCCTTACGAATTTTCTTACTCTTTTTAACTATGCGAACCCACTAATGACGCATTTTTATTCTTAGACGACATGCTCTTAACTTTTTTACAAAACTTAACATGATCCTAAGCATTATTTAAAAAAACTACTTTAGATTTAGAGTTTTTAGGTAATACGTTTATCTTTAATTAAACAGGCCTTTAAATAAATATACTTGTTAATCAATCTTAAAACTTGTAATTTGAGCAGCTAGGTCAAATTTTATAGGACATGTATATAAAGCTCCAAATCAACTATCTGAGTTAGTATCACCCTTGTAGAGAGTTTAAATATTTGAAATTATTGTAAAATTTGAGTCATGATCTACAATTCATTTTATTTTTTTTTATCTTTTTCTATTACATCACTGATTTTATTTATCACCTTTTCATCTTTTTATTGAATTATATGAGTTTTACTTATAAAAGTATCATTACTCGTGAATTTGATGAAGCACCTTGCTGAAGTTGTGTGATCACTTGATCTAGTTTTTGTGGATAAGTTTTATAATGAGTTGATAGTGTACTTTTCATCAATTCGATCTTTTATAACCCGTGAAAAAATTATACGTCATTATAACTAAAAAGGAGCCAAATCTAGTCACATTCACCAATTGTAACTATCATTCACATGCAAGATTCCTGTTTCTTTTTTGTTACATACACGCAAGATTCCATCTATTTGCGTTACTCATCAACACATCATTATGTTAAACCACGCAATACTATTTAAGATATTTTCACGTTTAGTAAGCATCATTTACATGAGTTTAATTTTTATTTATGTTTCTACAATGTGTCACATCGTTATGAGATTATTTAATTGATAAAAACTGGAAATGTTAATTACAAACTATTGTCAAAATTTTTAATGCAATAATTAATATATATCTTTCACCAATACTCAGTGGTTGTCATTTTCAGATGCTGGCTAAATCCTTTGAGAAGCTATGTAGTGTAAATTATATATATATATATATATACTATGATTATTTTCTACATAATTTGATGTTTTAAAATCGCTAAACGATTAATTCATTATCATTTATCAATGTTATTGTACACATCTCTTAAGTCACCCTAGAGCAATCATCTCTTGTTATTGGATTGTACAAATCAATCACAAAAGGTCACCAACATGGAAGAAATAAAGTGCTATATAAAAACACAAGTTTCTCATCTCTATCTATCCATTGGCGTCTTCTCTCACACTTACATTATTTGTTTAACATCTTATCCATTCAAGTAATTAAGATCTCCTTAGACTTCTTTTTTATGCATGGTTATATGAAAAATTAACTCTTTCGATCACTTGCTTACCCTCTTATCCCTCTACATGTTTCAAGTTAGTTTATTATTAGAAATAATTATTATCGTTTGAGGTGAGTAAAATAAACTATAGAGAAAGATGAAACCTATGAATACTTTACATAAAAATATTCAAAAGTTAAATTAAGTGGGAACAAAATTTTAAGCTTATTAAGCTTAAATAAAAATTATCAAAGTTGCAAATTTTGAAATTACTGAAGGAAACATTTGGCCACCCTCAATAGTTCCGCCACCGAACATATGGTACTCTTTAACATTTTGTTAGCACAACATAACCGACAGAGGCAATTAGTGTAAATTGTCATCAAGCTAATGGACACAGACAGAGAACCTTTTCTTTTCTTTTTTTCGTGTGATTCCTCTAGTTTTATCTTGTCACACTGGCTCACTGCACACTTCATAAATCATAAATTGTACAATTTTTGCATATTAAGCTTGTAAGTAGTAGCATAAATATAGTGGCACTATTTAACTCATGGTAATTCAGAATAAAAGGACAAGCTAAAGCTTCATGTTTATAATTATTCAAATATTGGTGGGGTAGAGATGAATTTCTGGGCTACACATTGGTCCATCCATTAATGTGATTGTGTGTGTGTTTTGCTTGTAGGGGCAGAACTTTTATATACCCTCACCATTACAAATTAATTTGCTACCCAAATTTTTATTCTTGATACCATGTTCCATGGACATATACTAGCACATTGTGATGGAAAAAGAAAATGAGGGTGTGACATGCTTCCAATTTATTCCATATCTTCAAGGAGCCCATTATTTAATTGAACGACCTTGACTTTATAAAAAGAAAAGGAGGGGTAAAAATCCCCTTTATTTAATGAATGATGACAATAAAATAACACCATGGAATATAATTGAAAAGATTCCCTTTGAAATAATTGGTAGTTCTCTAATAATTGTCTCAATCACTTTAATTTCATTTATAAAAGAGGCCAAAAACAACAAAATGGTTTTTTTTTTCTTTGTACATATTAAAATGGGTTTTTATATGGGGATGGAAAGTGGGATAAGATGGGATGGGCATGAATCTACCAGATTAATGAAAAATTTCACATGTTTACTGTGGTTGGTGAAAGTTGAAATAGTTGTGAACTTGTGTGATCTTAGGGTCAGGGCAAGATCTTGCTTCAATACCCACAGAAAGTGTGTTTTAAATAAAATGATTGTTTTAATTTAATTTTAGAGGGATTTTTTTTTATAATTTTTTTTCACAGTTAGAAAACAATTCTTTAAAATAGGTCAAAACACACTTCTGTAAAGTTTAATTCATTTATCTAGTAAAAAAATGTTGACAATATACATTCTTTACAATTATTATTGTTATTAAATAAAATTCTTGTAAAAATCACTAAAAAATACACACACAATATTTAGTGAGAGTCTCATATAATTACACTTATTTAAAGCGTTCAGTTATTTAAATTTCATGTAAAATTCGCTGTCATATTTTGACTTAAAAAGATATAATACTTAAATTTAACTCATTTATTTAAATAGTTTTAATATAAATTTTTTATTTAAATTATTAAAAAAGTTAAACTTGATTCATTTAGTTTATTTATAGCTTAGTTAACTTCTTAAAGTTTTTAATGAATCTTCTATTATGTATTCATTGACAGATAATAGACAATCCTTTCATTAATTTTTATTAAGAAAATTATATTAGAAGATCAGATAAAAATAATAAAATAATATTTAAACATAAAAACAATAAAATGATATTTTTTTAAGATAAAAATTTACTTAAAATTAACATTATATCATTATATATTATGCACATAAAAGTTATTTGAGTTTTTAATTTTAAGTTAATAAAGTTTAGAGTTAATTTCCATAATGATGATTTTAGTTAATTTAACTCGAATTAATAAAATGTCTAATGTCCAAATACAAATGGTTCTAAGAAAATAAAACATAGTTATTAGGATTTCTCTATTTCATTGTTTCTATTGAATCACAGAGTTAGTAGTGAAAACTTGAAAATAAGCATCGATGATTTCGGTGATT